AATGGACTAACTATGTGATGGTGGGCAAGTTCCTTAACCTTTCCAAGCTCTAGACAAATGTAGATAACTATGACTTGGAAAGCAGGTATAAATCAACATTCATATATGGAGGTTCTTCACTGAAAGTTTCCCCCACTAATGAAACTACAGGTCCCATTTCTCCTCCTGACTCTCACCCAAAAAAAAAAAATCCTAGGGGCTAACATTATACTTCTAGTTTTTCCTGCTGCTGGTCAGTACAACTCAAAGAGAAGGCAGAATGATGTGGTTTATCATCCCTGAGTATAAATTGATAAAGCAGAGGACTACCTTTTTTCCATCACCAAAAAGACATTTACCCTAAAGCTCTAGAAATCTCAGAGTCCTGATCAACCTCCCTTACAATTAGTAGTGTGGATACAGGCAATCTTTACTCTGGAAGCCATCACCACCATCACCACCCTTGAGGATCCAATGTTCCCACAATGATGGATTCTGATTTAATAGCTTTTAAAAACAAGTAGACGAGAGAAATGAGTGATGAATATGTCTAGGAAACAGACTTCTTCCTACATGATTTATGGGGAAAGAGTCCAATGTTGCTTGCTGATACATCCCAGGGTGAGGGGGTCAGAGTAGAAAGATAGGTTTTCTTTTAAGAAATGGGAAGAAACATAACTAGATTGAAGAGTGTAAGCAGTAACCTATACCACTAGGACAAACTTACATGACAGGCTTGTGTGAAAGCCTCCCCCAGCTCCCATCACATGACCAACGATCCCCAAAATAGACATGGAAACACATTTTCTTAGGAAGATGAAAAGGCACTGTTGCTAGGTCCCATGAAATTCATAGGCAATTAAAGTATGATTTCTGAGGAGGGCCTTCTAGGGGTTGTTTGCCCACATCCCATTCACCCTGTAGATTCTTGGTATTGCCTGCCAAGAGGCCATATCATCCCTCAGTCAGTGCAACTTGTTTTGTTTACAAACACTCTCCACATGACCTTTTCACCCATCACCATCACAAAAACTAGAGTGGGACAACTCCATATATGCGGCTTATAGAAAACATTGCTCTTTCTCATTAGAGCCTATCAGCTGAACCACAATGGATAATTCCATTGCCCATTCAAACCACTGTCTCAGACTTCAGGGTAGGAAAAGACAGAAATAACAGAACTCCAAGAGGTCACTCCTAGGAAGGCCACCACTAAGGCAAAGGAGCATACTTAGACCAAATCAGGAGAGGAGTTCCCCTGGCATTCAGTTGCCTGTGGGGAGGAAATATACCCTCTGAGATTCCTTTTTAAACTAATTAATCTTTCTATTTAAGTATTTCTACCTGCTAAAATAACTAAAGCAAGCATTGTTGGAGCCCTTTAAATTTTGGTACCCTGAGGCAAAGTCCCATTTGCCCTTCCTAGTTAGGACTCTGCATATCAGGATAGTGAGATTGTTGTTTCAGGAAAATCTGCTCCCCATTGTAATGTAGTGATGAGAATGAAGGCAGAGGTACAGATGAAATGAGTGAAAAGAGGAAAGATCAGAGTTCCAAAAATGAATGGGGAACACTTATTTATTTATTTGTTTTTGGTCATGGTTCCTGATAAGAATGCTTAGCTCTTCCCTGTCTAAATGATGGATGAATCTAGCCTAGGCTTCAGCTACTGGATGTAATAGACAAATCTCGTTTTACAGCAGATTAATCTCTATTCATGTTTTTAATAAGCACTCAGAATTTACTATACAGTAAAATTTAAATTGAATCCATATTTAAAAGGATGGGCCTTAAAATGGGACCTAATTTATGGGGCTTTTTCTAAGGAGGAGGAAGATATGAAAAGGGGAGGGACAGGTGGGGGAAAATACTCTTTCTCAGCAGCAGTTTCCCAGCTGACCTCCTTTTACAGATGCATAAGCATTCGCTTCTGCCCCCTCCCTCCTCCAGTCTGCTGCTTTGCTTCAGCAGTGACTTGGGGAATGAAACCGCACAAGCTTTCGTGTCTAAGCAGATCTAACACTCCCACTCACTGGAACAAAAGCACCTCCAGAGCTCCCTTTTCTGATATTTCTCTATCAATGATCTTGAGTTGCTCTTTAAGTAATACTTTTATCTACCCCAGGAGAGTTCCACTGGGTTTGGGGAGAGGAAGATGCCAATTTGCTAGATTTGACATAGAGGGTACTGTTTCTTATTTCATAGGATCATACAGGCCACCTAGTCCAGCTAAGGAAAATGAAGCCCAGAGAGGTTAAATGAGTTGCCCAGCATCACAGAGGTTCTCTTACTCTAAATCCATTGCTCATTCCACTGTACTGTGCTGCCTCCTGGGAAGTGTTGTCTTTGCATCTTTTACTTGCAACCATCCAGGTCACATTCAATGTACCATGAACTGGAAAAGGGAATTACTGTTTGGCATGCTAATGAACAAGCTATAAGTAAAGAAATCTTTGTATGTAAAGAAAACTTCAAGAGATTAAATTAAATTCTAATGTCTACTATAGCTCTCTGCTTTTCCCCCCCTTGGACACTAGGGTTCAGCCTTGTTTGCAAATTGCAAATGGAGAGAATTTCACAACCTCGGTCCATAGTTCTTTTTCTTCTTAGATGCAACATACAAAATAAACTCACTCAAATCATGATTAGGTTTGGGTTTCAATGAGTTAGAAGTCTTCACCTTTAAGGAAAAAAAAAGGGGACCAGCTATAAAACTCTGTATGAGAATCCATACCATGAAGAAAGCTCTAAATTGCTAATCAATATAACTAGTCAGTTATTTTAGAAACATTGACATTTTGTGCCATAGTAGAGAAAGAGAGAGAGCTGGTCTCAAATCAAGAAGGAGTTGGAATCAAGTTTCACCTCTCACACATACTTACATACATACATACATACATACATACATACATACATACATACTGGCCAGGTGACCCTGGGTAAGTCACTTAACTTCTCCAAGAACACATAAGTTTCAGAGAAGATGCTAGCCTTCATTGATGGAGGGAGTTTCCTCACCAGGGAGTTTCCTGTAACCAAAAAAACCACAGGTCCAGTTCCTATGCCTAACATTTACCCAACTCTTTTTTGCATGTGCTTTAGGAGTTTCAAGGTGACATGCAGAACTCAGTTTCCTTTGCAGTCTTCAAACTGATTAGTGCAGCTAGGGAAATATGCTGAACTGCCACATCAGAGAAGGAGCCTTCTCTTTAATCCTTCTCTCAAGATGACCTCTGCCCCCAGTGGAGGCACCGTGATTCTCAAAATCTCATCCTACATTTTATGATTTCAGAGCATGTACTTGAGATTGACAAAAAAACAAAAAAACAAAAAAAAAAGTACAAATAGAAATTGCTGCAAGCCAGAAAGACCCAGCTAATGTAACGCAGCATTTTTACCTCCCTAGATTCAAACTTGGGATTTCTAAGGAACTAATCAGCAATGATCCAGCCCTGTTCTTTTTTTTTGTAAGTGTACATACATACATATATACATACATACAAGAATGAATAAATAAATGGAAGAATAAAGAGAGATAGGTAGGTAGTTCATTCCAGCAATTTATGCTTTGAGGAGACACAAACACTTAGAACACAGCTAACTCAATGGTGAGATACAAACTGCAGTCATAACAGAACTACCTTGTCCATTCTTTTCCCTCCTTTAAGGAGGTAGCAAGGAGATTCATTATCAGGTGTGATCCAGAGATACTGCTGTTGTTTTTACACTGTCCATAGGATGTGTGCCTTAACTTGCTTCTCTATTGATGGTGGCATTTTGTTTTTTTGTTTCTATTTTTTTTTCTGAAAGTGTGTGCTGACCCATATATGTGTCCTAGCTTGGTCCTCCAATAGTATATTTTTTTAAATAGTATATTTTTCATTTTTTTAAAGAAGAGTGGCTGGGATTTTGGGTACAGTCTATGGTATGTTAGGGGGGAGGGGAACAGAGTGAATTCAACCCTGAGGAGGTTACATGAAGCATTTGCCTCAATACAGATTATTTGATGAACCCATTACCCCAGGTGGAAGTGGGAGAGAAAATGCACACGATCCCAAGACAGTATAGGCTGCTGCTATCATTAAAGGGGGAAAAGAAGCACACCAGTATACTACAAAGGAATTATGATCCCATAAATTTGATGAAGATACTAGCTAAGGAACTTTAAGGTAACTCGCAAGCCTGTACCTGGTACCTTATGTGCACTGAAGCCATAGAATTCTCATCATCCTATTACTCTAATTTCACTCAGGAGTAAAACAATAACAACAACAACCACCCTGACTGCTTTATTACTACTATCGATCCTTCTCAGAGGACAGTGGTATAGTAGAAAGAACAATGAATTAGAAGTCTGACATCCTGGATTTGAAACCAGGTTCCGATGCTTAGTCTTTGCATGACCTTTGACAAATCCCCTCACCTTTCTGGGGCTATGTAGAAGTTATGTTAATTGATGAGATTGTCTATAGAGCCTCTAAACTTCTAATCTAAGATTCTTATTCACAGTCCTTTATATATGCAGAATATGCACTGAAATGTAAAGGAGTTAGATTCAAAGTCAGTACCATCAGGACCGAAGGTGGGCATTTGAGAGATGAATACTAGATGTAGGAATAGTTTGTAGTCATAAAAATAACAGAGCTGGGCTAAAACCATTGACCTTGTCCTCATTGGCACTGGGCTCTAACCAACTGAACTAATCTATTCAGACAATGTACCCCGCAACACTTTCTCCTGTCTTTCTCTAATACCTAATTCCTCTGCAGCAGAGTTGATGGATTTTAGTGCATTGGACAGCAGCTGTTTCTTGTAGGGCCCCAGTTGACTGATTCCTAGAAATTTGTTGATGTTACTTTTACTACTCCCTAAAACCAAAGACATTTAGGTCTGGTCTATAAACCAGGAGGTGCATCTACATCTTTTTTCATGATCTGTAGAATAAAGCCACTAGAGTGAGGTTTCTTCCCCATCCCACTTGAAGAGGACAGCAGCAAAGGGTCAAGAGACCCTTATCTTACCTGGTAGTTCAGGGTGATCTCTGTTTTTGTTGAAGCAATGGCGGCCCTGCTGAGATTACCTTTCTGGGGCTTCAATGGCGCTGGGAGTGTGGGGGAAGGGGAAAGTATCAACAGGAAAAGCTGTCAGGTTCTCATAGACAGATTATCAACCTGAAAGTAAAGAAGGGAAAGAGAAAAAATTCCTTTGAAGCAAGATCCTTCTTTGAGTGTAAAGCAAACAATGGTATTAATAATAAACTGAAGAAGAAAGTGACATTTCAAAGCAAATTGATCACCAAAACCCTAGAGGGCTTTTTTTTTCCCACTCTGGGAATGTGGTAGGGCCTCTGGGGCAGTGAATCATTATGACTTAATTACCAACATGCTGTAAATAGATATAACACCTCGCTTCTGATAGAACTTTGGACAGTGAGTGGGAGAACCCCAAAGAGTTCTCTCACTCAGGTCTACTCAGTGTCAGAAATAAGGCCAGTTTATTCTAGTATCACTCCTGGGGGAAGGATTTCCAGAGAATAGATCAAGGAGGTATTTGGTTGCTAGGATCTGTGTCTGACCCTCCCCATTCTATCTGGCCTAAACTATTAGGGAGAACTGCACAAAAAAAAAAAAGCAAATTCCACTAAGTATTATGGATGAGAAAGGAAACATAAGACTCAGATCTTTGTTCACTGGGCGGGTACCTATGCTTTCTCCTTTTCTCAGTAAAGGTTCAAAAACTGCTGATATCAGAAATATTCCCCAAAACCTTACAATGTAAGAGGCATATCTTTTTTTAATAAAAAATCCCAACACAACCTAAATTATGCACCCCAAATCTTAACTTATTTAGATTTTAAGCACAGAGACCTCTTCCAACCACTAGGAGAAATTTTGTTCTCCTCTCTTTTCTCTTTCTTCTCCTCTTCCCCTTCTCCCTACCCCACCCCTTCAAAGCTAAGGGTTTGATTCTAAAAGTGGCAACACAAAGAGCACTGGTCTTTCACTTAAGCTCATTTCTTGTGTAATACATTGTCTATGACTACTTCCCCAACCTGCATTGTTGAACCGGGTCTCCAAATGGCCACATTTCTAATACGTCATTAGTGCCCAAACGGTTTGGTTACAATTAATTATTAGAAGGCAGACAACAGCAAAGGCATTTATCAAGATGACATAGTAAGAACAGTAGACACAAAAAACTGATAAATCTGAGGTGTAATCCCCCACAAACACATAAGAAGATTGGGCTCATGGGGCAGCTAGGTGATGCAGTGGGTAGGGCACCAGCCCTGAAGTCAGGAGGACTTGAGGTCAAATCCTGCCTCAGATTCAACACTTGACACTTACTAGTTGTATGACCCTGGGCAAGTCACTTAACCCCAATTGCTAAAAAAAAAAGAAGAAGAAGAAGAAGAGTGGGCTCAGAATTGTAGTGAGGCATGTAGATAGGATACATGTCGTCATCCTGGAGATTGCAGGAGCTTTGGTACTCATACCTAATCCTACTCTTGTTGCCTCTGCTCCTCTAAATGGAGTGCTGGAGGGAGAAGCAAACTCCCAAAGAGGTCTCAGGAGCCCAGACAACACTCTGTTTCCCACCAACAGCTTTACCACTTGGCTTTTACTCCATCACCATGACCCTTTACTGGGTACTATCTCCACCAGCCTTTTCAGGTTTCTTTTGTGTGTTGTCTTTCTCCCTGCTAGGAAGACAGCTAAGTGGCACAATGGATAAAGTGATAGGCCTGGATTCAAGAAGACTCATCTTCCTGAGTTCAAATCTGGCTTCAGACACTTAACAAGGTGTGTGACCCTGGGCAAGTCACTTAACCCTGTTTGCATCAATTTTCTCTTGTGTAAAATGAGCTGAAGAAGGAAATGGCAAACCACCCAAGTATCTTTGCCAAGATAACCCCAAATAGGGTCACGAAGAGTTGGACATGACTGAACAACAACAATAAAACTTCTCCCATTAGATTGTAAGTTCCTTGAGGGCAGAGACGGTCTTTTTTTTATTTTTATCCCCAGTGCTTAGTATAGTACCTAGCACACAGTAGGTGCTTTAAAAACATTTATTGTATTATATTGTTTATTGCATAACACATGATGCAAAGGAAGCTTACAACACCTGGTACTACAGGACCTGGAAGTATTTTTCTCTCCCATAGATCCCACATGCTGGGTTCCCAGCATCTGTTTCACTCCATAGCCTGACTCTTGTTTGCCAAGGGGTACGCTCCTGGAGACAGCTTTCTCCCTTAGATGACTCTGTGTCCTTGTCTGTCTTGAATGTGTCTCTGCTACCCACTGGATAAAATGGCTCCTGCCAGGCCAGTAGCTCCCCCTTCAAATCTACATGGCTGATGCGGAGACAGGGAGGAGAAGTTTCCTTCTTCGCTCCCTGCAGGGGTCTCCTCCACAGAAACTTCTTTCCTCCTCTCCTCCCCTCTCCTCCACAGACATTCCTTCCCCTCCTCCACCCCACCTCATGGGTTCCTCCCCTCCCTTCCTCCTTCTCCCCCTGCAGGTCCCTCCCCGTCTCCCCCATTTGCAAGGGTCTTCTCCACAGGCAGCAGTGGCTTAAAATCTCTCCCACTCTCAAATTCAAATAATCAAGAGCCTCCACTGCCTTCAAGTTCCTCAGGGTTTAGCTATTTAAAGCCCTCAGAGGGGTGACGAATTAGTTTTTTTCAGCCAATCATAGTTGTTACCTTCTTGACTCAATCAGCAAGGCATTTGGTACCTGATAAAGGGATCAAGGTGTAGCTACCTCATTAATACCTTCTGATTACATTCTGGACCTTCTTCTATCATGTACATTTGAAACTCCCTTAACTTTTAATTAGTTGCTCTTGGCAACAATAAGAACTTATCACTGTGGAAATCTAGTGTAATGTGGGGCATTGGGGAGTGGAGGACTAAACAAGGAGGGCATAGGACTTACAGTATATGAAATATTTTCTGTCTGACACCAGCCATGAGGAGGCTTGGTCAGCTGGCTTCTGGGCATGCATATTAGAGGGAACCTTTCCCCAATCCGTAGTGTGTGCTGATTCCTGTTTCCTGTCGGTTTACTGTTTGGTGATGAATTCTTTTAATTGGCTGATGAGCCACAAATGAGTACGTGTACAAAAGGTTTGAATGGACAAAGGCTTTTGCTCTCTCTTCTCTGGCAGTTTTTGCATGAGGATGAAGAAGAACTACCGTAACACTAATGTCGGACAAAAACATGGAGACCATTCACTGTGGCCTTTGAATTCTGTCCCCTCTCCAACATTTTAGTCTAATTGTAACCTAGCAATGGGGTTACAAATTCAGTCTGAATGAACGTATGTCAGTTCTGGGACCATTATAGGGTTTTAAGAGTACATGGGGGGGCAGCTAGGTGGCAAAGTGGTTAGAGCGCTGGCACTGGATTCAGGCAGACCTGAGTTCAAATCCAGCCTCAGACACATAACACGTACTAACTGTGACCCTGGGAAAGTCACTTAACCTCATTGCCTAGCCCCCCCAAAAAAGAGTACATGGTGTAAGAGGTCTAAGAATCCATTTTAGTCCTATAGTGACACATTCCACCACCACCACCACCCCCTTCTCTCCCAAGTCCTTAGCTCAGCACTCAAAAACTCCTTTCAAAATCCTCCATTCTCCAGAGGCTGGGGGAATGTGGGAAGGTTATATTTGTATGCCTATTGGGGGCAGGGAATGCATTTCCCTTGAGTTTCTGCCTAAATTGCCCTAATCCAAATCCTAATTTCTATGACTGATCCACCTAAGCAGGCAGGGTGAGGAGAGAATGGTTTTATGCATCCTTATCACAAGATGCTGTATATGAGCAATATTGAAATAAAGTAGTGGCCCTATTTCTTGGAAGTGGGTGGGGATGGGAGGTAAGTACACAAAGTTATAGGTGAACAAGTCAGAAATGAAAGCCATAGCAAGGTTCCACATACTGCAATTGCAGATGAAGAAAAAAATCCAGCAGGGTTTACATAAACCAGGCATCTCAGACATAGATGCCACAGCTGAAAGGTTTAGTACATCTTGTACCTTTTGTGGGTGATTAAATGCATCTTAATTAAACTACAGGTGAGGAAGGAGCTCTAAAACCCTATTTCCCCCACCCTCATTTTATGTAAACATACAGAGACATAAAACCAGATTACACAGACCTGAGCCCATATTCCTCTGGGAAAGGTACATGAAACAAAAACCATCAACCTTGCTTCCATTACCACACACAAAGATGGAGCCTGAGCCCACAGGCATACATGTACTGTTCTTAACACACACACACACACACACACACACACACACACACACACACACACCTCCCCAACTCATGTATTCCAATTGCAGATGGCACACAAAATGGCCTGTACTTTATTACCCCTGCCTCTAGCTTCAGTGGATGGGAAGGAATAGAAGGTGGGGATGGGCAAGGTTATTTTAGAAGCTCCCAGACCATCCCTCTTCTCAATGGCATGCACACAAATGTGTGACCCGACACTAGAAACTAGGAGCATTTCCTCATCTCCCCACACCTCCAGAAGCCCTGGCTGGCTTATAGATGCAGCATCCTTGCATCTGTAGCTATTTTCAGTGCTTCAGTGGGGGGACCCAGCTGGCTTACATCCCAATGCAAATCACCACAGCCAGCAACTCCAAAAGGCCAAGGATGAAGGCAAAGAATGTAGTAGAAGGAGGTCATCAGTGGTCATAAGGACCCAGATACAGGTAGAGGAGTTCTTTCCCAGGTCTGACCATACTCTGAGTGGGCCCATCTGTCAGGTTTGGTGAGGAGGTGCTGCATTCCCAACCCAATAGATCAATTGACGCAGTTTGTTTTGCTTTCCACCACCCAAGCTGAATGGGTGATAATTTAACGGCATGTCCCCGACTATAATGGAACTTTTCTTACTCCAGAGTAGGAAACGCCATCCATCACCAGTTGAACAACACACAGCCACCCCCCTGACCTACACTGTGCGGCATCCCCTGATCGCCTTGCTCCTCACTCCTACTCCTTTCCGTGATGCAGCAGCAGCTGCTGAGTTATGGAGACTGCAGGATGAGCCAAGACAGGCTCAGCATCTCAGGCCCTGAGGGCTGGGGAGGAGAGATCCATCCACCTCTCTAGCCCCCTCCCCAGGACAACAGGCTTAAAGGAG